GAGTGTGCTCAAGGCGATTGGTGCGGATCGTATGTATTATTGCATTTGCATCAACCTCTGCGATACTATGGAGAGTTGTTCTACCCTGAATCTCGTTTCGGGCAACTCTACGGACCAGGATTGGAAAAATCTATCTGCTGAGCTTCCTTCGTTTATGTTGTAGAAGCTTCGTTCTCTATTAAACGACATATGTTGGTCTTGTTCTTCGCTCCAGGTTTCCAAGCACTCTACCCAAGGAGGCGTCGGGCCTTGAAAAGCCGGTCGAGGGTTGGGATTCGGAACAAGAGTCATCGGGGTTAAGTTCTCCACTTCAGGGTCGGAGTCAGAACCATCAGCATAGCCTTCAGCTTGGTGACCATCTACAGGGGTTGGGTAATCATTCTCTGGCTCCTCTCCGATCCATTTGGTATTGTCGTGGTTAGGGTAGTACGGGTCGTCGTGTGGATGGAATCCAGCCATGATATCTTCGCGAGAAATGGGGATATAAGAAATAACTAAGCAAACGTACTAATTAGCTAATTATATGATGATCTTTATCAGGTACTTCAACATATTGTTTAGTGCATACTAGTTATATGTATTCGGGACAGGATAGACCTTCGAATAAACGACCCTAACTCTAAATCCCCAATCCAACGAGAACAGGAAGTAGAGCAAAGATCCACATATTCTAAGTCTATGACATCCTGGATACATAAAATTTTAATGTATCCACTAAGCAACTATTGACCTATTGATAAAGATCTATTTAGTTCTCACATATGTAATTATAATAATGCCAAAATACCCCTATGGTATTTCATTGTGGTAGTGTTGGTAAGTTTTTAGACTTGTTGCCACATCACAACCATTCTTGGGCATATGCTAATCACTCCTCGGACCAGCATAGTTGATCAGGCTATGCCACTCCCAAGACTGACCATACATCCCCAGGCTTACCTGTGATATCCAACAATCATTACTTTTGTTTTGTCCTAAAATGATGCTGACCTTAGTATGTATGCATGCATGTATACTTTTAACAAAAGCTATTTATTCCTAAAGGTATAGTTGTTTTGAAAACTTTAAATCAGAGACCTTAGTCCCAATGCATTTATAGTTTGTATATCTTATGTGGTTCGATATACTTAGCTCACTATAAACAATGCTCTGATACCAATCTGTCACACCCCCAAACCAAGGATGGCGAAAACGTACGGGGGTGGAGGACTTCATGTACAGTATCACAACAACGAATATAATAGTGCTCAAAGTAAATACAACCACCATATATATAATTGAAAAAGTTACACCAAAGTATATGTTTACATGTTTCAAAAACAATTACATTATGATGACAAAAATAAATTGTTGACGGTTTAACGTCCCATCCTCAAAGCGATGAAGTTTTCCTGTTTCACGGATTTCCTGAGAATACAATTAGTTTTGAAAAGTGTCAACAATTAAGTTGGTGAGTTCATAAGAGTTTTGTTTGAAGTAGAAACCGTTTTCCTTGTAAAATCGATATAGTTTGGTTTGCAGAAAATCCAATATTTTCTTAGTTAAGTGTGAATAGAAATATTCCTTTATGATGCATTAATGAACCCTAGAATGACCCGTAGAGTTCCTCTATAATCGTCCAGCGTATATAAGTTATATAAGATTTAAATTAGATAAAACGTTGAATATAGTGGGTCTGCCCTAGGTCCACAACCCAACGAGGAACAGGAGATGAGGCGGCCACCACCAATTCTAGGCCAATCAAGACTAAATTCTTATAGGACTCAAACATATACGCTCAGCGATTATAGTTGAAATCTAACAATTCTAGATGAAATATAGTTTGATTTCTAGAAAATCCAATATTTTCTTAGTTAAGTGTGAATAGAAATATTCCTTTATGATGCATTAATGAACCCTAGAATGACCCGTAGAGTTCCTCTATAATCGTCCAGCGTATATAAGTTATATAAGATTTAAATTAGATAAAGCGTTGAATATAGTGGGTCTGCCCTAGGTCCACAACCCAACGAGGAACAGGAGATGAGGCGGGCACCACCAATTCTAGGCCAATCAAGACTAAATTCTTATAGGACTCAAACATATACGCTCAGCGATTATAGTTGAAGTCTAACAATTCTAGATGAAATATAGTTTTAATATCATAATAACTATCTTAAGTGAACCTGGTACTTTGTATCGGTACCCCCTTTTTGTATAGAGACCCGACACTTTGTATTTGTACCCCTTTTTGTATAGAAACCCGTCACTTTGTATTTGTACCCTTTTTTGTACGAGTATGTTATGTAAATGATCATAAACTATACCTATTATAGTTTATTAAAATGTTTGAAATGTATATGTACCCTAACTATACCTATTATAGTTTAGTATATTTCTTTGTGGTGTTTAAGAATCTCATTCTATGGAAGTCAAATGTATAGTACATTATAGCTATGTTTAACTTGTTTTGTCTTGTACTAATGATTATGATGGAGGATCCTTATAAATTCAGCAGGTAATTTCCTATTATATAATTATATCATAACAAGAAATACATGTAATATATGAAGTTATCAAAGTTTTAACACTTTGCTCAACATGTTACAAAGTGTTTTGATAGTTAGAAGCTGTTAATTAATTCTTAGTCTTTCAGCACTGTTTTAGAAAAATCATAGAAAAATCATACGAAGTCGAAAACTAGATCCGTAAATTCTGAGAGTTCAAAAAATGTGTCTAGTTTACTCATAATTTTTATCAAGATTTTTAATGACCTCAAATTTGGGTGAAAAAGTCCATAATCACAGACTGGTCCGGATTGGTGTTTGAAATGATAGGCAGTTTTGTAAAATTCACCATAAATTGTAGAAAAATCGTATGGAGATGTGCAAGTAGTCATTTTAAAGTTAAGAACTTGAAGTATTTGCACCTTGTACAGTTTTGAAAAATAAAATGTTTAAGTTGTCCAAAACAGTCTGTGAATGGAGTTGAACTTTTCTGATGAAGGCTGTTAGAAAAATTTAGTTATGTTCTTGGTGTTTTAACTTGTATTCTCCCCCTGAAAACTTGAGAAAACATGAAAATGTAGGGGTATGAACTCACCTTGAGTGATTTCAGTAGATAAGTGTTGAAGAAGAGAAGTGTTCAACCCAAGAACACTTGAAGAATCACTTGAAGATTCGAAGCTCTAACGCTAATATGATGGAGTTTGTGTAAGATATTCTTGATTTGAGTAGAATGAAGTGAAATAATCATAAGGAGGATGAATTATAATTACTAAGAGTGGAAGAACACTTGAAAATCAGCCTTGAATCTCGAAATTGAAGTGGGAAAAGTTTGAGAGAAAAGTGGTGTTTGATACTTAGTGAAATGAGGGCAAATGAGAGAAATGAGGAGAGAGGATGTTTGTTCCAGCTCTAAAAACATGGGAATGAGTGTAAATTGAGTGTAAGGGACATTGAAGTGACCTAGGTAAGGTGGGGAGGTGTGGTTAGTCAAAGAGTGGGTGTGGGGTGGTTGCTTGTGACATTGGATAAGGCGAAGTCAACACTCCACCTTTAATAATTCACCATTTGATTTTTATTATTTAAATAATGATTTTCATCAAACTATGTTTAAATTATGAATATTTAGAGTTTATTATGTTAAAATATAATTTCTGGAGAAAATCCCGCTTTAAAATCACGAAAAACGGGCTTAAAATGTTAAAAATATCAAAAATGGGCTAAAAGTGACAAATTTCCGAATTCTGGCCGAGGTTCGGCCTTCTGATGCTGAAACCGAGAGGAGGGAGGGTAGAAACCGAGAGGGAAGAAGAGGGAGAGTAGGAACCGAGAGGGGAGAAAGGAGAGAGAGGGAACCGAGAGAGGAGAAGAGAGACCGAGAGAAGAGAAGAGACACAGATGCGGAGTAGAGACCGAGAGGCGGGTAGAGACAGAGAGTGAAGAAGCGACATAGAGAAGAGGAAGGCGAACAGAGAGTGAGAAGCGACAGAGACCGAGGCTCGGTCTCAGCTACAGTGATTCGGTCCTCCGTTTTCGGCCAACAGAGGCTCGGTTCGTCCAGGAGAGAAGGCGACAGAGACCGAAAGCAGAGAAGAGAACAGAGAGGAGAGAAAGAAGCAGAGACCGAGAGGAGCAGAGACCGAGGCTCGGTCTCGCATGCCTCAGCCAACAGAGGCTCGGTCCTCGCCTAAGAGGCCTCTCTTCTTGGTTTCGGTTCCTAAAGCCTATTTTTCTCGTTTTCGCCCCGTTTTGAGCCGTTTTTGACCCGGTTAAGGGTCGGAATGACCCGAATGATCCCAAAAAGTTACGGGAACTTTTGAGAGAGATTTGGGAGAGATTTCTCACACTTGGAGAGATTTGGGAGAGATTTGACATTCTTGGAGAGATTTCTCATACAAAGAGATATTTGCGAGAGTTTTCACATACTTGGAGAGATTTGGTTGGGATTTGACATTCTTGGAGAGATTTCTCATACAGAGAGATATTTGAGAGAGATTTCACATACTTGGAGAGATTTGACATTCTTGGAGAGATTTCTCATACAAAGAGATATTAGAGAGAGATTTCACATACTTGGAGAGATTTGGGAGAGATTTGACATTCTTGGAGAGATTTCTCATACAAAGAGATATTAGAGAGAGATTTCACATACTTAGAGGGATTTGGGAGAGATTTGACATAGAGAGAGATAGAGTGAAAACGATTGAGAGAGGTTCCATGTGGGACAGTTGTGAGTGCCCGGCATCGCAACGCATGGTTCGTAAACCCTGTTAAGCCTTGTTTAAGGATCTTACACACTCCCGATGAGTAAGCATCATTGTTTTATCGGTTTGGCTTGCCACTTACCGCAGTTTTTAGGTTAAAGAGATGTAGTTGTACGTACTTTTCGATTTATGTTTTCTTATCAGAATAGCGAGTTGTTTAGTAAATACTGAACGTAAGTCCTAGTACACAAGGGTTAGTTGAGCTGACTTGTTGACTTTATTTGACTTTGAATTGACCAGAATTTGACGGTTGTCACACATTCTTTGAAATATTTTCACCCAAGCCTGAAGTTCGTACCTCCTCAACAAGTGACCTGGCAATCAAAACTTCAGGGGTGAATATGACCGTGGTCTCTGGAATTGAGCTTGTAAGAATAGTGGTCTCTGGAGTTTCTGGTACTCGCTCATCTTCTTCGGTAGACTCACTTGATAAAACAATCTTCCTAGCCTTCTTCGGCTTCTTCTTCGTTGGTTGGGATAAATGATTCGCCATATCTTCGGCTGCCCTTTTCTTGGATGCAGGAGAAACAAGAACTGGAACCTCACGAAACATTACACCTTGATGAGAAGGTTGAGGTTTACGAAGCAATTTCTTGGATGAAGACTTGCGTTTGTGCTTGGATTTCATCTTGATTCTTCGAAACATCCCTGTTTTCGAAGGAATCACCACATCTTCTTGTGACTCTTCCACAACTGGTGTAATCACTGTTGTTGCATCGACTGTCACAATAATAGTTTCTGACGTCTGCTTTGTGGATTTGGATGAGGTTGAACTATTCACTTTCTTCGCAGGAGAAGTAGGCTTATCTTTCTTTGACTTCTTAGTCTTCTTGGCTTCGCGTGGTAGTAAAATTCCCATACGAATAGAAGAATCGAAAGTTTTTACATATGCCTGCAAGACAGGATTCGAAGGATCCACACTTTTAAGCATTGCATCGGGAATCCGAGCAACACTTGGGAATTCATCAGCATCATCAACGACCTCCTTTGGAAAATGATAAGATTGAAAACTAACCTTTTCGTCTTCATTAGAAACCAGAATATCATCTTTGTTGTAGAAATTTTGTAAAATAAGACTCCAGTACCGAGCACACGAAATGCCATGGACAACATTTGTGTGTTCTACCCCTTTCTGGAACTCCTGCCATAGCTGTGTTGAATAATCAGCAGGAAGATCATAGTACAAACCAGCCTCCATGGCATATATCTCCATTCGTCCTTTATCCAAGCCAACTGTTCTTCCAGTTAGACAACGCAAAAATATTAAAAACAAAAGTTCCATATTTTTGGAAGACCATATTTCTTAAAATCATTGATCTTAGACAATGGGGGCTGATATCCCATTTCATTAAACATGTGTATGATTTGAGAGAATTGAAATTCAAGAAACGAAGGTGTATTTGGAATATCAAGAATCTAGCAAAACAGTTTCTTGGAAAGCCTAACCTTCTTATCATTGATTAAAAGAAAGGTAATCGCATCAGTGGCTTTATTATAGGTAGTTGTGGATCATGCTTGAGAAAGCCAGGATAATGGAACAGAAAAAGAGGTGAACATCGCTATTGATAAAACAGAGTGTTTTAATGCAACAATCAACATTTTGAATTCCTCCGAACATTCTGAAAGTTCACCATTTACATAATAGTTGGTAGATTGAATCTTCATTATTGGTACTGAGGATGTATCTTCTCTGGAAACATCAACATGAGAAGTAGTCACCATTGTTAGGGTTTGAAGAAGATGAAGAACAGAGAATTTTGGGAATTTTGAAGTGTTTGATCGCGTAAGCATAGAATGTACTCTAAACCTCCTTTTATATGTAACGTTGGATGATTTGAATTTGAAGCGGGATGCATTTAATGAAATCCAACGTGACACCTTGAAAATCGGACCAGTTTTGCGGAAAGTTAGCCATGCGTTAAAAAGCATCTGTGACATCTCCTAGAAAACCGGGTTGAATACCATACGTCACGGTTACACAACATGTCACTATCCCCTTTATTGAATAGTAACTGTTAGAACCCTTCGAATGGAGGCAAGGCTCTTTCACTTTTGGGATGAAAAGCGAAGTCATATGACAGGTGTTCGAAATCATCAGCCTGAGTTGGTATTACTCAGAACCTCAAGGATTTCGTGTGTGTAGTGTGCCAAAGAAAGGTTAGACAAGAAACAATTAAATTTTTTTTGGAATGTAGTGATGTCAAAATTTCAATTTGACACGAATGCAGTTAAACCCCGGACAAAGGTTGCTTCGTTAATCATCAAGAGAGATGATCAACAGCTTGTGTATGTTCCCGTGAAATGCAATCGACTACTTTTTGATAAGCATCAAATGGCTTCTTTTAAAAGTAATTCTTGGGTTGGTTTAAAATTTCGTTACATGTCATCCTAAACATAAGGTGATAAATTGTAATAAAAATTACTTGTTTGACCAGTGTAGTCAGTGACAAATTTGCTTTGAACAATATGATCATGACAAGGATATGCGAATAAAACTCACACTGAGATCATATTCAAAAAAAAATTATGTTCTAGATTTTTTTGGGTAACAACCATCTTGGGTTTCGAATGTTTGATCACGACCACGCATTCTAAATGAATATGATTTGGAGTTTTGAATTTTGGTACAGAAACAAAAGTTTCATTAATATCTCGAACAATGTCCCCCGTGAATTCCTTAAGTTTCAAGATGTTTGGGTTTCACTTTCATCAAGGACTCATGATGTCAGATCATTAACACAGAATTTTGATATGTCTAAGTCTCGATGGGTTTGATCAGAGACCTCTCAGACATATGTCTTTGTGTGTGATTGTGTAAGAATGTATTGATGAAAAAGATTGGTGTAAGACACGAAAAATACCTCTGTTATGTTTTGGACCAAACATAAAACTCTTAACTCATTGTGAGAAGAGTAAGGTAGCTCAGAGACTAATGTGAATATAAGCCTGATTGGGAAGAATTTTTCGTATGAAAAAGTTCATTAAGGCTTTTGTACACACACATTGAGTCATGGAGGCTTTGGTCAACATGCATCAGAATGCTTCTAGGGACAACGTAACTAATTCGAATAATGAGAAAGATAATGATGAATACGAAAAAAAAATTTACTTGTCCCCTATACTGCCTGCGTTTTCCCTTCCAAATCATCATCAAAATCTGTAAAAAAAAAAAAAAAAAAAAAAAAAAAAAAAAAAAAAAAATTAAATTAAAAATATTTTTGTTGTTTTTGAATTTTTCGAAAATTAAGACAAAAAAAATGAAAATTTTTTTGGATTTTTAATTTTTCAAAAATTTTAAAGACAAAACAAAAGAAAATCTTTTTGGATTTTTAATTTTTCGAAAATTTAAAAACAAAACAAAAAAAATCTTTTCGTGTTTTTGATGTGTTGCAAACAAACAAAATTTGACATTCTTTGAAAAGTAACAAATGTACAAATTCAAAGCGTTCGAAGCATTGACTATTAACAGTAACCACTGATGCAACGCTAAAGATCAGTGACAATCATGCGAATTCGAAGCGGTCGAAGCGTTGACTATGAACAGTAACCGTTGAATGTTAAATAACTTTGTTCATCGCCTCTGACTCATTCTTTTTCACTTAGTATTCATCTTTTTTGCACGGAACATAATTTTCATCGATCATTCCCAGACCTTCTATTATTCGCACTAGATACTTTTCATCCAAAGCTTTTGTGAAAATATCAGCTAACTGATCAGTTGTTTTTACAAAATGAACTTCAATATTTCCATCCTCCACATGATCTTTAATGAAATGATAACGAAGAGCTATGTGTTTAGTCTTCGAATGCTGCACAGGATTATCACAATATAATGGAATCTTTTTCATATTAATTGCATAATCACGTAATTGACTTTGAATCCATATTATTTGTGAAGTGCATGTAGCAGCAACCATTTATTCTGCCTCAGCCGTGGAAATCGACACACATGTTTGCTTTTTCGACTGCCAACTGACTAATTTGCCATCAAGTAATTGACATCCTCCACTTGTGCTTTTTTGATCAAGATTACAACCACCCAAGTCTGCATCTGAGTATGCTTGAACGAAGAATCCTGTTTTCGAAGGATACCATAATCCTAACGAAATAGTGCCTTTAAGATAACGAAAAATATTCTTCACATCAGTAAGATGTGGTTCGCGTGGATTAGACTGATACCTAGCACAATTACACACAGAAAACATGATATCAGATCGACTTGCTGTAAGATAAAGTAACGAACGTATCATGCTCCTATACAACGTTAAATCAACAGCAGGTTTGTCTAACGATGATGTTAACTTTATGCCCGTTGCCATTGGTACACGAAGCTTTATGCTATTCGTCAATCCAAACTTTTCAAATAGATTTTTCGTATATTTTTCTTGATTGATAAAACTCCCTTCTCTATTTTGACGAATATTCAATCCAATGAAATTATTGATTTTTCCCACCATGCTCATTTCAAACTTGCTTTTCATCAAGTCTTCAAATTCTTTAGACAAAGCAGGGTCAGTCGAGCCAAAAATAATATCATCAACATAAATTTGAACAAGCATAAGATGATTCCCTACTTTCTTTCGAATTAGTGTAGGATCAATAGATCCTTGTTTAAATTTAGATTGTTTAAAAAATGATGTAAGAGTTGCATACCATGCTCGTGGTGCTTGTTTTAGACCATAAATTGTATTATCTAAAATATAAACATGATTAGGAAATTCTTCGCTAATAAAACCTGGGGGTTATTGTTGAGCGTATCAAACCCAACAAATAAAGGGGTAAAATAACTCCTTAAACACTACTACTTTGTACTAGAAATGTAATACAAGGTAAGTAGGGTCGATCCACAGAGACACGGAACAAATGTTTATACCTTTTTGCGGAAGGTACAATAATGGTCACATAAATGGGGGGTTGGTATGCAATGATTTAAACAAAAGAATAAAGCAATAAGTAAATGATCAATTAAATGAAACAAATTCAGGATTTGTGAGAACTCCAACTCTATGCAAGACAAATTAGCAATGTGATTCCATGGATGACAAGATATTTGTTTAATTCTATCTAAGTTGGTACTTGAAAGTGTTAACAAGCTCTAACACTTCCCATTCACCACAATAATTAACCAAAACAAGCTCTTTGATTAATCCTAACCTTACCAATCTAATCTAAACAAGCTCTTAAAATTAGGTTGAAAGATTGCATTAAACTTTATGTGAATGTTCCTAACAACACTCAATAATCCTCATAAGCTCGGGAGCATAAGAATGTGTGAATAAGATTTACACTAAATTCATTCAATAGAAATCCGTTTAGTGCTTGTTACCTAGTCCAATCTACAAAACAATTACGGATTTTGCAATTAGATAACTTGAATGATCTAATCCTAATCCAAATGGCCAATAAGAATCACAATTAGAATCAAACATTCAATTGAGACAAAATCAAATTCACTAGATAGAAAATTGAAAGCAAACATCAAGTCATATGATTGAAATCACATCCAAATGTCAAGACATAAAGTTGGAGAATTTAGGGTTCTAGCCACTCATGGATAGAACAAGATCACAGATCTAGAAAATGAAATTAAAGTTCTTACAAAATGAAATCAAATGTTCCCAATTGTTAATCAACTCCAAAATCCTCAAGAAATCGCCTTCTCTACTCCAAAAGTCGACCCCCTAAGTAAAAAGTTGGTTCCCCCATTTAAGAATGGTGAAAAACTGCTTTAAAACCCACATTTACGTTTACACGGCCCGCGTAAATTAACACTGTCATTTACACGGACCGCGTAAATGCAAGGCTTCCATTTACACGGCCGTGTAAACATCTGTAAAGTCAAAATCCCCATTTCTTTGA